TATGGGCTGAGCTCTGCCCCTGCCTCGGCCTCTAGCACAGCCTCGGCCTCGCCCTCTGCCTCTCGTGGGAGCTGCTGCTGGGGGCTCGGACTGCTGATTAGTGGATAAGGAAGCGCGTGTTCTCGCCATCTGCGAAAGAACAGAGTAGAAATTCAATTAGCATTGAGAAACCAAACCGCATGACAAGAAAGAATAGATGTGAAGTTTTCCTAACTCTATAGCCTCTGGGGGATAAATACAGATGTCTCCGTACCGATCCCTCAGACTCTACTAAGCTTGTCCGTGAATTGTGAGACCTAAGTAACCTAGAGCTCTGATACCAACTTGTCACAACCCGAATTTTCTACCCTCGGGAGTCGTGATGACGCCTACTAGTGGAAGCTAGGCAAGCTAATTATTCCAATTACTTAACCTTTTTCATTTTTAATCCTTTAACAATGGTGAATAAACATCATATAAACAACAGAATTAAATAAGCGGAAGACGGAAATTTAATAATTTAATAATAATACCAATACCAATCCATAACATAAACTACCCAGAACTGGTGTCACAATATCACAGACTGTCTAGGAATATTACAAATAAAGGTCCAAAAGATTTACACAACGCTGTCTTTGGAATACATCAAAGAAACAAAATGAAAAGATAGAAGGAGACGCCAAGGCCTGCGGACGCCTGCAGGACTACCTCGGGTCGCAAATTGGACTAAAGGCAGCAACCTCACAGCGGTCCAAAAGCTCCAGCACCGGGATATGCACATAGTGCAGAGTATAGTATCAGCACAACCGACCCCATGTGCTGGTAAGTGCCTAGCCTAACCTCGGCGAAATAGTGACGAGGCTAGGACCAGACTACCAAATAAACCTGTGTAGTTAAATCATATACATAGGAAAATAAAGGCAGAAATGTTTAGTTAAGGATAGGAGGGGGAGACATACTGCGGGAAACATCAAGTAATAATAGAAGAACAACAAATAAATATAAGGAACACCATGGTTCAATTATCAACAAGAATCAGAAATAAAAGACAAGTGCACGACATCACCCTTCGTGCTTTTACTCTCGCCCTCACCATAAAATCAATAAAAATCGGCATGACATCACCCTTCTTGCTTTTACCTCACATAATCATGGCACAGAATGATCCTTCGTGCATTATCATTCATATCATGGCACGGAATTGTACATTGTGCGGCACGACATCACCCTTCATTCTTTTACCTCACAATATTGGCACGACATCACCCTTCGTGCATTAACACTCTCAAAAATCATACACGGGATCACCCTTCGTGTTTTACACTCTTCCTCACCCAAGCAACAATCACAAAGCAATTTGGGCAAGGGAAGCAATAATATTTCAACAAAATCCCGGCGAGAGAACAATATCATAACAACAATATAATGAATAACAATATCCAGGTAAGGGAAACAATACCAAAAGCAATAACATCCCGGCAAGGGAGACAATATCATAAACCTCTCCTCTTTTCCACATTTACCTCACAACTCAATTCACAACTTGAGCCAATGCTCTACAATGTTCAATTGCCAATAATACTTCCACATATCATTTTACAACTTGAGCCAACGCTCTTCAATGTTCAATTACCAATAATACTTTCACGAGCCTTGTTCAACATTAGAAACCATCACATAAAGCATGAACAATACGAAACAGAGTCATATTAATCATAGTATAAGACTCACGAGCATGCTTGACACCAACGTATAGATACTCGTCGCCATGCTTATACGTCGTACTCAACAATTAACGCATAGCAAATAAGACACAACTCCTAATCCCTCAAGCTAAAGTTAGACCAAACACTTACCTTGATGTCATGAACACAATTCAAGCCTCAACTACCGCTTTACCTCTTGTTTTCACCACCAATTCGCTTGTATCTAGCCAAAATTCACTTAACGATATTAATAAATGCTAAATGAATCAATTCTAATGCATAAAAATAGGTTTTATAAAGATTTCCCCAAAAAGTCAAAAATCGGCCCCCGGGCCCACATGGTCAAAACACTAGGTTCGAACCAAAACCCGATTATCCATTCACCCACAAACCCAAATATATAATTTGTTTGAAATTGCACCTCAAATCGAGGTCCAAATCCCCAAATTGAAAAACCTAAGTTCTACCCAAAACACCTAATTTCCCCCGTGAAACCTCTTGATTTTGAGTTGAAATCATGTGAAAAGATGTTATAGATTAAAGAAAATGAGTTAGAAATGACTTACAATCGATTTGGAGAAGAACTTTTCTTTGGAGAATCGCCCAAGAAAGTTTAGGTTTTGAAAGAGTTTGAAAAATGAAAGATTTTCGGCTAAGTCATGATTTTCACAGGCGCAGATATCGCAATTGCGATGATATGTTCGCAAATGCAAACTCGCAATTACGGCAAAAGCTTCGCAATTGCGAAGGATGCCTATCTCTGCTTTCTTCGCAAATGCGAACCATTGTTCGCAAATGCGATGCCTGCTAAGGTCGCAATTGCGACATAAGCTTCGCAATTGCGAAGGTTCCCTACCCAACCCAGTATTCGCAAATGCGATGGGTGTTCGCAAATGCGAGCTCGTAATTGCGAAGCGTGCAGACCTGCAACACACAACAGTTTTTCCTAAGTTCAAAACATTCTGTGGCCTATCCAAAACTCACCCGAGCCCTCGGGGCTCCAAACCAAACATGCACGCAAGTCCAAAAACATCATACGGACTTGCTCGCGCGATCAAATTATCAAAATAACATGAATAACTATGGATTTAACATCAAAATCAAAGAAAAAACTCATGAACTCTTAAGTTCCATTTTTAAGAACCGATGGTCCGATTCACGTCATATCAAGTCCGTTTCTTACCAAATTTTACAAGCTCAACTTAAATACCATATAAGACCGGTACCGGGCTCCGGAACCAAAATACGAGCCTGATACCATCAAATTCCAGTACATTCAAATTTCCAAAAACTCTTGTAATTTCAGTTAAATATTTTTCTTCAAAAATTCATTTCTCGGGCTTGGGACCTCGGAATTCAATTTCGGGCATACGCCCAAGTCCCATATTTTTTTACGGACCCTCCGGGACTGTCAAATTACGGACCCGGGTCCATTTACCCAAAATATTGACCGAAGTAAACCTAAATTCATTTTAAAAGCAAAATTCATCATTTTTCACAGATTTTCACATAATGGCTTTCCGGATACACGCCCAGACTGCGCATGCAAATCGAGGTGAGACAAAAAGGAGGTTTTAAAGCCTCGGAACACAGAATTTATTACAAAAGGTTACCTTATAATTGCATGATGTAATTATAATCAATTTTTTATCCCCTAGTGAATTGGGGAGTATAATTAATTCCTCCTAATTACACCTAATTCCTCGCTAATCAAGTAATTACTTGGTCAAATAAACGTGTTAAAATGTGTAATTACACCTAAATCCAATTACCATGTGGATTTTCAAACTTGCTCTTAGAAAAGTTACATCAGTTTGTAATTATACAATGATTTACCATCAATTTTTACTTATTTCTTAAAAATTAGAGAGTTTAATTGTATCTTTATTATATCTATTTCCATGCTGACCACATAATTATTTGGCCAACAAGCATGCAAAACCAATTGCATCAAATTGCATACAACTTAATTTCTTAGGTGACTTTCTAATCATGCCCTAAGAGTTATAATTTTTATGTTGTATTTTGGATCGTATGATATCTAATGATAGCTTTTTTTAAATTTGCGTAAGATTTCTTGATAACTCCTGGATTCTAATGATTTTGAATTGCGTTACTTGGCAAGAAAGGAAAAGATGATTTTTTTTTTTGAAAATTATGGTGGTTATACTTAATATTTTTTAGCATTTAATTCAGATTGAATTGTTTGGACAATTCTTAGAAATACTTTTTTCAATATTTTGTTTGAGCAAAACGTGTCTGGATATACTTAATATTTTTTAGCATTTAATTTAGATTGATGTTTGGACAATTCTTAAAAATAAAGGTTTGAAAAGTTTGTTTGAGCTAGATATTTTGTTTGAGCAAAACGTGTCTCGATAGATCAATGGGTAATTTTTGAAAGTTTGCTGATGGTAGGGATAAGTTTGGCCGGATAATATAACAGTCGGGATAAATTTGACCAGATAGTATAACGGATATTAAATATAGACAATCCGAAAATAGAGGGGTATATTTGGCCATTTTTCCTTTATACTACAATGAAATAAGATTCTTTTTATTTTTTGAAAAATACCCTCATAACCTCTTAATACATATATATTTTTTTTTGGCAAAAAACTACCGCAATAACTTTTTGAATTTTTTTGACTAATAAACGTTATAGACTCCTCATCAGGTAATAATAATAATCACAAACATAAAATGAAACAAACAAAACTATAACGTGCATGGACAATTCTGTCTACAAAAAAGGATTTTATTCTTAAAAAAATGTAGCCTAAAAAGGAAATACTAACCAGGTACTCAACCATGAAACCGACGTTATAGACCCACTTTCCCCAAATTCTCATAATTAATCCAATCGGAAAAAGCCGTAGCCCCACTATTTTCGACTCCACGTCTTCACCCACATACACACTACTACGGGGTCGTTTGGTAGGGTGTATAAGAATAATGTTAGAATAATGTGTATTAGTAATGCACGTATTAGTTATGCAAATATTATTTCTTATCTATTATTTGATGTGGTGTATTAAAATTATAATGTATTGCATAAGTTTTTAAAAAAAATAGTTGCTTACAAAATACCCCCATATTCTCTAGTTTTAAGGGACTTTAATGACAATTTTGTCTTTAGTCATGCTAATGTATGCATTAAAGCCTTGATATTACTAATGCCATAGTTTTCTATGCATTACTTATGCATAGTATAATGCCAAGTATGATGTATAGCTAATACAAATATTATTTATACATAAGTTGAAAAAAGGTACCAAATAAGGTACCTACNATATATATATATATATAATGGAGCTTCACTTTTTCTAACCCTACCCATTGTCCAAAAACCCATCACCATCACTGGATCCGAAGATCACCTCGATCTCATGTCATCCTCCGCCACCGCCCCTCAACCACCTCCTCCTCCGCCGTCAGCCCCCACGGCGGCGCCGGTGAAAAAAACTGTTGTGATCCGTTCCGTTTGGTCTAACAATCTCGAATCTGAATTCTCCTTGATCCGTAGCCTAATCGACCGTTATCCCTTCGTTTCTATGGATACTGAGTTCCCTGGCGTCATTTTCCGGCAGGATATACGCTCTCGGAACCCTAGTGATCACTACCATACTCTGAAATCCAATGTGGATGCTCTTAAGCTCATCCAGGTTGGTCTCACTCTCACTGATGCTGCCGGTAACCTGCCATACCTCGGCTGTGCCTATGGATTCATATGGGAGTTCAATTTTTGTGATTTTGACGTGGCGTGTGACGATCACGCGCCAGGATCAATCGAGCTGCTCCGTCAGCACGGGCTGGACTTTGACAAGACGCGTGACCATGGTGCTAACACCACGCGCTTTGCTGAGTTGATGATGTCGTCCGGATTGGTCTGCAACGATGCTGTGACGTACATCACTTTTCACAGCGCGTATGATTTTGGCTACCTTATTAAGGCCCTAACAGGTCGTGAACTGCCAGGTGCATTGACGGAGTTTCATGAATTGCTGATGGTCTTTTTTGGGAACAGGGTTTATGATGTGAAACACTTGATGATGTTTTGCCACAACCTTTATGGTGGATTGGACCGGGTTGCAGCTACTCTTATGGTGAATCGGATGGTGGGGAAGAGTCATCAGGCCGGGTCTGATAGCTTGCTGACCTGGCATGTGTTTCAGAAACTGAGGGAGGTCTACTTTGAGGACAATGAGGCGCTGACAGAGAAGTATGCTGGTGTTCTCTATGGGTTAGAGGTCCTTTCTCCGTAGCTCCTTGTAGATGTAGACTTCTATTTTCAGAATTTCTGTACAATCCTTTTTCTTAATCCAAAGAAGTTTTAGTTTGGTTAATTTTGTGTCCCTTTATTTATATGCATTCCCTTTAAATGTACCTGCATAACTCACTCAGGAGCATTAGGTTGGTCATTCAACTTTTGAGTACTGTAGGTCACCTGGTAATCCCACTTACAGGGCAGCCCAGTGGACTAAGCTTTGTTGTGCGCGGGGTGGGGGGAAGGCGCACATCCCCACTTATTCAACCTAAATGGTATGATTTATTTGTATCAATAAGGTAAATTGGGAAACCTTGTGTGTTAAGTCCAAATCACAATTATGCATTTATTAGTCCTAGACTACATTTGTTCATCCAATGATACAAAGAATGGGATCATCAGATTTGTGAAATTCAGTTGGTCTACCATACTTTGTGTTTCCGGAATTGAGAATCAGAACATCCTTGTGGTTCGGCTGAAATGGAGAGATAAGTTGAATCTTGAAAGTGTGTGTTTAATGCCAGGCTGTAGGATTAATGTTTTGCTCTATTTAAGATTGGACGGTTCTGAATAGTGGGGGTTTATAAGGATGTGTATAAATTTGACATTGATGGTCAGTGATTGGTTAATGCTGTAATTTTGACAGTGATGATCAGTGATCGATTACTATTTGTCTTGAGATGAGCAGTTGAATTTTAGATAAGCATCTCATTAAATAAACTTTATCACTGTGGTGATTCATAATTCATGTTGAAGTTGGTCATATAATTGGAGAACGTTGGATGTTGATTATAGCTATGAGTTTATTAGTCCTATTCAACTTCACTTAGTGATACAACAACAACATACCCAGTAAAATCCCACTTAGTGATACAAAGAGCAGAAATATTGAATTTGTGAAATTCACTCTTTGCACAGGATTTGTGTTTCCTGTAAGGACTTGATTCGGAATATTCATGTGTAACCGAGTGAAAAATGGAGTCTTAGCTGAGATTTGAAAGGTGATTGTTTAGCGATAGGCCGTATTGCTAGATTGGATTGTTTTGAATCTTGATGGTTTGGAAGGATTAGCTGTGTAACCTTGACAATGATGGTCGGTTACGACTTGTCTTTAGGTAGGTAGTTGATTATAGATAAGCATCTCTTAATTATTGTTTGTTGCGGAGGTGGTTCAAAATTGATTTAAAAGCATGGTTTAAAGTTGTGACGTGGTTTGAGCTTGTTTGAGGGAGTTTGGAAGTGAATGCATTTCTTTAGTTTTGGATGGATTAGCGGTTGTACTTGTCAGTATCTAATAATTGATGCTGGTCAGTTACATGTTGACTTGGTTGATAAGAGTGTTCTGTAACGGATGTGTTTTTGTTGTCATCATTTATCATGCTTTTGGAATCTGTTTTAAATCTGGGGCAGGTAATGATTTATTAAGTTGAAGCTTTGAAGGGCACATGTGTCAACAGGTTCAGTATACGGGATGTTGCCTTCTAGGAACGAAGATGGAGTTATCTGTTGGATTGACACATATACTTAATTGTGTTGGTGATTCTAGAAGCATTTTTGAATTCTTTTTCTAATTACACACTAACACATAGTATCTTTGAAACATTTCAATGGGAAATGTAAATTTGGAGGATTTGCTTCAGCGCTACTTTGAGAAGGAATATTAGTAATAAAGCTGCCTCAAGAAGCCTACTGAGGGGATTAAGGTAGATGTATTCATCTAGCTTCAAACCTGAGTTAGGGGCCATTTGTTTTTATTAAGATTTAGATGTCTGAATTTGAATACATATCTATTATAATAATAGGATGTTGCTTTTAGATTTGAACATTGAATGATTAAGACTTTTTCTCTTTGAGCATCTGAATATGTATAACTTATCTATATATAAACATAATAAACATGCAATTTAAATAAAATCGTAATTACCATGACGCTTGGTTTATTATTTTTCTTTATTGAAAGTTCTAAGTTCTAACTGAAATTGAAAGCACCTTCTCGAAAGGTCTGATGACCTCTTCAAATATTTATCATCAAATGGCCCTATTTTGTTCTTCTATTTACATGCTATGTAATCACTCTACCAACCTTTGTGCATCGTGCTAAATATGAGAGGAAAAGTTCGTATACAATTTGGTATTTAAAGCAGCAACATGTTTTTTGTAATAGCATATCAACAACACATTGTTTGTTCAACAAAATCAAGACCCACCTATGAATGAAAGAAAACTATCGTCACAAATCTTCAATATCAACAACTCCCTTCTTTGTACTGAAGTTAACCCACCTAATTCAGGCTTACAATTTTTACAAATGCCTCCTTCAATTATAGCCACTGGGTCTGCTCAAATCAAATTCCTCAAACTATCAAAACTCTAGTCTTTGTGTCATAAGACCATAGTTTGTGGATCAAAAAAATAGAGATTTTGAGATCTCACTAGTTGAGGAGCAAAAGAATTGGCTCGTTGAATGATTTAGATTCAGACCTCCATTAAGTGCAAACAAATGAGGCCTTCAATAATTCAGCTAACATATGCGCAGTTCAAAGCAAATGGCAAGTGCCACATTAAGTCATTTTTGTATAAAAAGGTAAAGGGGGACTGAACTATTATCTAATCTTCAAATTAGCATGATAATTAATATTAACTCATTCACATTATCACACCAGATGAAAACATACACACTATCCTCAATAAGGCATATAACTTATATGGTGACAACATAATGTATTGTGGAAAATAAAGAAAAAAGATTAAAACAAAATCAAAAGCAAGGATAATTAATTTGACGTTGATGGTTAGGGAGGGATGTCTTTTTGTGCCCTGCCTTTTTGTGGTATGCACCTCTAAAATTGAGTTAAGGTCTCTAATATTTTCCTTAAAATTGCTATTGTTGAAGATGTTCTGCATTCAAATTAGGGTAGCCTCACTTTTATGCATGAGGCTAGGACGTATTTCATTAAGAGAAGAGAAGTCTTACTTCTATGCACAAGGTTTTTGCCTATCGATAAGATTTGAGTCAACCTCGAATTGCTCCATCTCTTTGCCCCTCGCTTTAGAAACTTGATTAAGGGATAAAATTTCAAATGTGCGGTTATGTTAAAAGCAAAAAAAAAAAAAGAAGAAGAGAGAATCACAAGGCTTATGGGGCTTTACAGGAAAAACGAGAAGCAAAATGCATGCTTCTTTAAGTGAAGCGCATAATGTACCCAAACTATTAATATTATCTAATATATACAATTTACTACCTATAACGTTAATAGTTTCGTCGAAGACAAAGGCATAAGAGAGTGTTCATTGTTTGTTGGGCTTGAAGCATAATGTGGATTTATGGCATGAGTTTTAGTAAAGAAGGCACAATAGTGAGAAAAATAAAAATATATATGTAATGCACGAAAAAATAACTGTAGACAGAAACAACAATTGCACCCAAGGGTGTAATTTGATGGTCGATGAAATGGGATGAAGATTATGAAAATTTTGGGTTCAAATTTTAGCAGATACAAAAAAGTTAGATGATCTCTTTCATGTGCCTTATCGTTGGTGGATAGAGTTGCCTACCAGTGGGAGGATGCAAATAAACGATGGAATAGTTCAGGTGCGCATAAATTGGCCTAAACATAATATTTATAATAAAAATATTAACATAAACAATAATTATATAAACAAGATAATTTAAAGAATTACGAGTAAGTGAAATTTTTGAAGTAAAAACATCTAAACGAAATTCAAAAATCAACTTAAAAATTTGATTTAGATGCTAAGATGCATTTTTAAATTTCCCATGTTGGTTTAAGTGACTTGTTTCTTATGCTAAATCTCTATATTCTCTTTCCTAGCAAGACGATCATTCATAATGATTCCTTAACAAGTAATATATCTTGTCTCATTATATTTATTGTTTAGTGCTTTTTTTTTTCAAGATAGATCACATTAAGGGTGAAATGAGTGTTTAAGATCCAAGATATTAAAACTACTACTTTTAGCATCCAATATGCAATAACCCCATGTTTCATGATAACCCCAAAATATGCAATTAATGCATCATTAGAAGTTATTTACCTAGCACCCAAAGGTGTGTCCTGTTGGTTAATGAAGTGAGGGAGGAGAGAACCATTAGGTCTCGGGTTCAAATCCCAATTAGAGGAAAAAAACATTAGATAATTTCTTCCCATTTGGCCAAACTTTGATGGGCAGAGTTACCCTGTGCTTATGCTGGTGAGAGGTAGCAGGTATCCATTTGGATAGATAAGGTGTGCAAATTGGTCCGGATACCACCATTTTTAAAAAAAGTAATTAACATCATTTGTAAAATTGACATTTTAATTCTCAATGGATTGACCATACAAAGAATGAATTTAGTTTCTTCATTAAAAGTAGAGAATAAAAGCAAATGATATGAGGTAGCAGAATTAGACGACTTGCATAATGGAATGAGAAGAAAGAGTCATCGTCGGGACTTGGGAGCAAAAACTGAAGAAAGAAGTGAATCGGAAGAAGCAGAGAAACAGAAATAGTAGAAGAAGAGCATTACAAAACCGAAGAAAAGAAAACAAAAATGCAACAAAGGGAATGCAGAATATATAGGGAGAGGATTCCTAGTACTTGAAAGACGAAGGGTCCTATTTTTTCTCTCTATTTCTCTTTAAATCTTAATTTTCTGTTTTCCAAAGTTAAATTTAAAGAATAGACCAGTTCTCCTTGAAATCACTATGCAACTTCATTGTTCGAAGGATCAAAGTGCATCGTTTCACTTTCACACATGAGGTGATAACTATGCACTTCGAAATCTTTCAATCGCGGATGAAGAAATGGCTTTAGTAATACTTAAAGTGAAAAAGTGGCTGATCTTGCTTAATCATCAAAGAGTTATGATCTATTGTGGAGTGTTCATTAGGTGGAAAAGCATAAAATCTATGTTTAAATCTGAGAAGTGAGGTGAATTTGACAAAAAAGCAATTTGCATAATAATCCAATTCTGGATGTCTGGCCAAATAAGATAGCACACTTTTAGCAACATTTCAAGTTATTATATGCAACCCGACTCCCATTTTATGTTAAATAGTTTAAATTGTCGTAACCTTCTATAAGAAAGGTTTG